GCCCAGATCAGCAATAAAAATTCCCCGATAAGTACTCAAAGACTTTAGCCCTTACCTTGTGCTTCTCCAGCTGGACCGTCAGGGCCGGGATGTCCTGGCTGATAGCCTCCAAGTTGGTCAGCTTCTGATTGGTCATGTTGACGTAGTACACCATCTCGCTCACCACCTGGTAGATGCTGCGGAACTCCTTGTTCAGGTCAGCCTTGGAGGGTAAGGAAGGGATAAGGGGTGAAAGGGCAACGTTAGGTGAAAAAACGGCCACAAAACTCTGCCAAAGTTTCATTTGGGAATAAGAGTGATTATTCACAATTTGTGTATAATCTTGTTAAGTGATTGCGATGGCTCTGTGTCGAAATGAACCGAGTCATGTTCACACTGATTGTGTCCATGTTGAAATTATGGGCAAAAGTCTGTTTCACTAAATGTGACCTAGTAGGCTGTGCAGGTGGTGTGATATGTCTGTGTGATGCAGTCTGGGTGCAAGACCTTACCAAATTAAAATGCCTGGATTCTGGAAACAAAACATCTAACCTACTACCTGAAATGACCAATGAACTTACACAAAAAAATCCCATGAATATGGAAAATAAAGAATTTGACACAAATTTAAATTAATGAAAATCAAAGCCCAAAAGTGTTACTTTATCACACGTTCATGCTGGGATATGATGATGAAACACAATTTAGTTAAAGTTAATGATAAGCTTGAAGACAGAAGAGGTTCCACTTTTAAAGGAATCACTAAATCACAGATCGGCAGACTTGACTTTGTAGAGTGCATTAATTTCCCATTGTTAGGCTTAACAGAAAGTAAAACAGGCTTTTTGGCATTTTCAGTGTTCAGTCTGAAGTGTTTTGCAAACTTCTAGATCAGACAGATATTCAAACCATTTTATCTCTTCCACCAAATTCATTGGTCAGAGCCCTTTTTAAGGAAACTTTGGCTTTAATGGGCAACAAGGGCCTGAAAATGAATATTTCTGAAACTTCATAAAATGTCTGTCTAAATACTTGACCAATCTTTGAACCTGTTTTGAAAAAGAAAAAAAAACCAATAGTGAAATTTGCTAATGCTAGAGAAATGCTTTCATGAATACAAAAACATGCATCATCAAGCTATTAGTCACATAATGCATTGTTCAGACCATGTTAAATACCAGACGAATTGGCTTCAACAAACTGATCAGATTTATAAAACTCAAATTGCACTGATGCACTGAAGTTATTAATATATATATGCACTGAACACCTGCGTAAGGTTGGGCTAATCACGGTGACTGACGCACCAAAGAATTTGGTAACCATTGTCATGACAGTGCTTGACCCTTGACCTTTCCAATCAGCAAGCTGAAAATTGCTAAACTCCCTTCCCATTCTTGTCTACTTTTATCTTTATTACCCAATATGGACACAACAGTTCGGTTTGTTTTTTTTTCAACGGCGAGCGCAGAACAAGCAAAGTTACCCAAGAACAAAGTCCACAGGTGATCAGAAATGAAACATTTGAGAGTTGGAGTCACAGAAACATTTATTAAGTCATGACACCGGAAAAAAAATGAAAAAAGTATTGTGAATACAATGAATTTAAATTAGTTATTGAGTATGACATGCATGAAGTATGTTAACTTGACAGCAATGAAATTTCATTGACTGCTTTTTTTTTTTTAGAAAAAATGAAGACACTGACACACACATGAGTTAATAAGGTTTTTTTTTTCTTTGAATTTTTTATTGTATTAGTCATGCCTCAATTCTGAAACACAAAAACATTAAACACATGAAGTAAAAAACAACGCTATATTAGGTACACGGCAAGGAACTCGGTTGTGGAATCATGTCAGACTGAAGTTAATGGGAAACACATCAATGCATGAGGAAAATGGTTGGTTGTGGTGAACAGTTATCGAAGGACATCATTAAAACAAGTCAGTTGATGAGAACGGTTGGTTATCTTTGCATGAAGCACCGCTCACTAAAAAAAACTGAAAGATGGCGACTGGTTTAACTCACGCATTCTTCCTCTTCTTTTCGCTTCTCATTGGAGAAAGCAAAGCAGAACAAACAAAAAGTTGAACTGAATGAACTATGGATACTTCCAATGTCTCGTTTACAGTGTAGCACAACAGATCACGCTTCTCCGAGTGCAACAATTTTTAAACATAAAACGTCTTCTTCCCCGATTGAAAAATGGCAATATTTATTGCCAGTGCTTAGATATAGTTATATATAGCTTACATACAGCCTCTTGTTCTGAATTTTAAGAAAATGATACACGGACTTTGTTAAACAAGAGGGGTTGAAATGTGTTACAGGAACCACTCACTTGTAGGTGTTACATTTCTGTGGTGTAAATAAAATAAATGATTATGTGTGAAAGAGGGTTACAAATATCTGCAAGGGGTTGGGAACGGGGACAAATTTGACTGCAGGACCAGTCTGAGGTGGCAAAATGTCACCGAGAGAGAGAGAATTCCCAGAGGCGCACATTTGCAAATCACACACTTGTTGAAGTCCAGGGCGATAGAAGTCTAAATGATTGACAGACGCACAAAATGCGAGCTACGAAATCAGGAGATGTTTTATTGCTGCATGAATGAATGTAATACAATGTTAATCTAAAACTACAAGATCTACGAATGACATTCAGATATGGTAAGGTAAAAAAAAAAAGTAGTAATGCAGGAAAATGGCAGCCCAACAGGGGAAATGTGTGACAGGCAATGGAAGACAGGAGGATTAGCACACGCACTGGATGTTGGACATTATCAAATTTTTGATCTTAGGGACCAACAAGCATTTCCTTAAATACAACTGCTTACATAAGCTAATTACATCATATCAAGTGGATAATGGTATGGAAACACTCTCTTTGTTGGGGCAAATGACAAAAGACAAACGAAACAGAGGTACAAGAGGCTGAAGTTGGCTAATACAAACCGCAAGCAGAAAACTGAATGCACACAATAAACAGAGAAGCATCTCCACTCAAGCGTGAAAGGAAAACAGTAGGTATGTTACACATTCACCAAAAATGGATAAAGCAGATCATCTACATCATCCAAGGGAAGTCTGGGAATACTTTGTTGAAAAATGCTGCTGCAGTTTCAACAACATGCTGGCTCCCAGCGCTACTTCCTCCAAAGTGAAGGCCAATTTTGAGGGTTTGGATGAATGGACTTGTTCACTTACGGTGCAGGAGGGTAAACAGACTGGCACAGATAAGACAAAGTTTAGTCTCGGGCGGGCTGGAGTGTGGGTGTGCGGCGAGAATGGGAGACAAAACAAGCATGGGCACTGTAGGAGGTGGTGTGGAGAGTTGGAATAAAAGCAGAAGCTCCGTGTGTTGGCAAGGTGGGAAGGCCGCGCAGAATGAAGCAGCTGATTGCAGTGGTAATGAAGGCTCTGGATGATTAACTAGAAATCACCAGTCTGAACTACCAAAGAGCTGATGGTCAGCAGCCTGAGCGACAGTGTAGAAGACATGCAAGACTGTGTGTGAACTGGACCACCTCACAACGTGTGAAGTCCCGAGCACACTGACTTTGGGGGGTTTCTGTAATCAGAGTACGAGGTGAGCCTAAATGTGAAGAAGTCTGAGAAAGTGGAAAATGCATTAGTGTCGAGAGTCTAGCTTACCCACGTTAGTACAGAGTCAGAGGGAGAAGCAGAGGTGTCCGGCGCAAAAAAGGTTGTCAAACGCTTTTCGCTGGGCGACAAATAGCTCACCGGTACTTCTGCACTGAGCAGGCGCTTCACGCGCCACATCACCAGCTCGGGACTGGCTATCGGGGGCGGCTTGTAACTCAGAGGCGACGCCTCCCCTGACTTTGTAAAGGTCTGAAAGGCAAAGCCCGGTGGCCCCACTTCGCCACGAGAAGGTGGGCCTTCCCCGAGAGGCCTCCAAGAAGCGGTGCGGTATGGATCAGAAGCAGCGGAGCTGCTCGTTTGAGAATGTGGCTGCTTTTCCGTTTCAGCTTTGGGATAGACCTCAACTTCCTGACCTTTTGGGAAGGGTGCAAACCTCCTTGTTGTGGAAGTGACAGTGTATTCCGTCCTGGTGGTGATGGAATCTCCAGGAATCTCTGAGCCTTCTCCCTGATCTTTAGGATTGTGGGGTTTGGGATTGTCGGGATGAGGATTACCAACACCTGGACGGGGATTCCTTTCCTTTGGATTATCTCTGCCTGGATTTTCAGGATGCGGATTTCCAGGTTTTGGATTGGGATTCCCGAGATTAGGGTCAGGATTTTCGTGTGATTTTCCAGAGGTGGATTTAGGATTGCCTGGATGTGGATTCCCAGGTTGCGGATTGGCGGGATGCGGGTTTCCAGACCGAGGATGTGGGTTACCGGGTTTGTCCGGATTTACAAGTGGCTCTTCCAGCTTGCCAGGATTTGCATCTTTTTTGGTGGGTTCTGCCTCTGTGGAAACAACCTGGCCATCTTCTGGCTCCCGGTCGCCCAGCTGTTTGACCTTTGACATCAGTGCCGATGACAGGTCAGCACTTTGCACTGGTCGGACTGTTTGGTCCGCGTCCAAAGCAGCCTCTGGATCCTAAAATAGAACAGATGGCAAATGATTACTGCCAGAACAAAGTAAACAAATTATACATCCATGATCCTCCTTTTCCCTCCCCAACAAATTAAATTCTTGAAACTGATTATTATTCTTTTACTGATATTGCTAAGCCTACTAAAGCTATCTTCTTTAAACCGTGCAGCATGCGGTATGCACTATGAGACTAAATGTACAAACATACATGCATGGGATCGAAATGAGCAGGGGAAGGTGCCAAATGATTCAAATGCTTGAATGCAAACATGCGATGCTGAATCTACAAACCGCCACAAAACAAAAATCAAAACTAGAAGAACTATTCCAGCCACGATGTATCCGTAGGTCAGCTTTATTCAAAGGACACAGTAAACTTACACAGTCTTGCCCTCTCGCGATAAAGTCACGGTAATCACACTGACACAAATCAAAACGACGAGATTCAGTTTGTTTAATACATTTATTTGCTTTCAGTCTTTTCATTTCCATTGACAAGCAAGACGTGGTAAGGGACCAGATCTGTGCTGTTTACAGGTATAAAGTCATTTTGCTCTCATTCATTTATCACTGGGGTTACTTACATTACATTTTCTCATTTTTTTTCATGGAAGGTCTTACACTGATCATTTTTCAAGGCAAGAGGCTTATTGGGAAGATGGCAAACAGCAGTTTTTGTATACAGACCTCACGACGGTAAACTGGAAAAATAAACAAAGGACATGTGGTGGGTATTAGATATTGAAAGCAGCCATTGCCGGCAGTTTGTGCGCATAAGAAGAGCTGGTAAAGAAAGACCACACAGTGCCAAAAAGGGGAAGGGAAATGCTGAAGTGACTGCAACGCAAGTCCCCAAAACTGTTAGGTAGGAGCATTCACCAAAAAAAAATACTCACTCCACTTCATACAGAAAAAATGGTAAAAATTGTGACTTGAAACATACGTTGTAGCCAAAAAAAAAAAGTAAAGAAAGGCACGGTTACAAATCTGTACAACCACGATTGAAATTCATTTCACATATCACAAAGAACAGGGATCTGAAGTGCAGAACAAGTGTGATTTGGTACAGGTTGATTAATGCAGAGAGAGGAAAAAACCAGACTTGTTTGGAGAGATTCAGAAACATCAGTGTGAGAACTCACCTAGAAGACAGAATGGCAGTGCAGCGGCCTGACTTCACAGAGCCAGGGAAATTTCGGTTATATTGAAAAGAAACATTTCTAAGAGCACATGTTAGTAACATTCAACTCGGTCCTCTGTTACGAGACAATAAAATAACTTGCCACTCAGACTGCATTTTAATTTGAATGAGGCTCAAAATGTATGTGACGTGAGATGTTTGGCATGTGCACGGTGTTAATTTTTTTTGGCTCTGTGGTCATAACTGTGTGGCTGTAACTCTGCTTGGTGTATATTATTAGACACAGATACATTTCATCAAAAGAAAAACAGTCGGACAGCATTTAAGAAAAAAAGATCACACAAATGCAGCAGTTGAAATACAATAAGTGGCAAAGGTCTTCTAACAAATCTGTGGAAAGTAAAGTCAAGTCCAATGAAGAGATGACATATTGAGGTTAACTGCAATGGGGTGGCTCTTCAGTTCACAGGACAAAAGTAAATGCAGACTTTTGGTAACCATCACTAATGATTAAAAGAATTGAAAAAAAAAAAATTTTCTTTTCAAAATGCCGACCAACTCATGAGTTTAAATCTGTCAACAGCAACTGCAATGAAGTCGTTAGGCTAAAAAGCAAGCTTGAGAAAACTGTGAAATGGAAACAGATTAATGAAAAACTATCTCTTAAAAACTACAATCCAATCTGTTTGAAAATGGACATGAAATCATAGCCAAATATATTAACAATACAGCATACATGTGCAGGAATGACTAACTTGATTTGTACCGTACTGAAATTGAAAAAAAAAAGCCAGGTCAAAAAAGTGCTCGGCTTATGCAAGCGAAAGATCACATTTGATTTCTTTTTTTTTTTTTTTGAAAGCCACGTCTTACCCAATCTTCCAAATTTCAAGGGTCACATTATAACACTCATTTCAAATCGTGCCACCTGCAATGAGGGATACGTTTCCTGGCGTAAATTTTCCCCTTTCTCTTTTAAACGAGCGCCTTACATTTTCAAAATTTCCGGCCGAGTGGATGCTGTCCACGCGAAGATTGACCCGGGCCACCAGTTCCCGGTAGCGCTTGTTCAGCTGCTGAAGGTCTTCACGGACCAGCTGGGCACCAGGCCTGTGGTTTCTCTCTTGGCCAGGCTGCGGGGGTAGCTGCCCTGGACTTTGGTCTTGTACGCTTCAACCGTGGAGTCGTACGACTGCGTAATGAAATTAGGAGGAAAAAAAAAATTTAAAACTTGAAAATTCTGTCAATAACGTCTTTTAAGGTCTTCCAAATTACACTTTTTTTCTATAATGGCTTTATTTTTCTGTTTCAAAGTTTTATCTCTCAATTTATGTAGCCTTTCTGGGGTCTTCCTTGAGTTTCTTAACCTAGTTCGGCTGAAACCTCTATGCATCCTCCAAAATCAGGAGCCTTTTATTTCATCTTCACTGGAGCTTCTAGCCTAATGTAAAACAACGGTGGCGGGACTCTACTAATCTTTTAAAACCTCTAGCTGGATGTGACTATCTTTGATAGCTTATGTAAATAAATTAAGAAACGATTCAACCAATTCCTGTGTATTCTCTACAACCACAAGGCTGCCGTGTTCTTCCTCACAAAACATGGGGCAAATTTTTTAAGCAATTTATTTTAGGTTTTGTATTCAGAAGAGCAAACTGATCTTTTCATGTGGGTATATCACACGGTGAAGTGTCCTGATAAAAAGGGACATCATCTGACTCAGAAATCTTCATCAAAAATGTTGAGGGTTTCCGTCATGTTACACCTTGCAAGATTCTTTCCTTCAACTCAGAAGTGACCAGGCAAATTTGGACTCATTTCATCAGGTGAGTTCAAGCTCTCAAACTGAGCAGGTTAAAAAAAAAACGAAAATAAAAAAACTAATAATCTCAGCCGTTGCTCACCTGGGCTTGTCCAATGAAAGCCTCCCCCCGCCCGTTAGTCTCCATCATGTAGTGCTGGCGCCCGGCCACCTGCTTGTTGAACTCGCGGGCCGCCCCCAGCTGCTGCACCAGGTTTAGCGAGCCCTTGGCAACGTGCTCAAACTCCATGAGCGTGACCTCAGCCTGCGAGATCCAGTTGCTCTCGCGAGTCAGCAGGTCGTTGAACTCTTGCAGGAGGTCGCCCGACTGGGTCAGCCTCTTTAGACTGTGCGACAGTGGAGGGGGGGGGAAATCAATGTTTACCACGCAACACAATCACAAAACATAAAGTTGATTTTTTGTGGTTTTTTTTGGTTGTTTTTACAGATTTGCCATATGACATATCTTCAGCTTGACCTTAAGACACCACTTTCTCAAAGACATGACAGCATGATTTCGCTTCGCAGTACCTTGACTATAATTCTTACGATTTGTTTAGCCATAAAGAACATGCATTGTGTCCCCTGGTTCAGATGACAGAGAGCCAATAGACAGCAACCTCGCTTGAATGAACCTAAGTCTTGCTCTCACCGTTCATGCGTCTGATTGCAGACATCCTTCCACCTTCCCAAGATGCTATGCACCTCGCTCTCTAGACGCTGGACATCCTGGTGGGTGGGCGTGGTCTTGGACAGACTGCCCACCCGCACCATTTCGTCATTGAGCTTGTCAACAACAGGTTGGAATGGTGGAAGTGTTTTTTGTAAACCCTGCCACAAATAACAAAAAAAAGTTTACCAAATATTCCATAAGATCAAGAATGCACATTTTCCCACAATTCCAAAGGACCCAGTGTGCTTATTTACCCACAATGCTTACTCAATCAACTTCACACATATTTGCCAGCAATTCCACAGCATTTTGAAATTATCTTGAAAATCCATAATACTTTGACATCAATATACTCATGAAACCTTTCTGTTCTTTCTTATTTTTGGATATTAAGGGCCAAATAAAACATTTCATGCAGTGGCCCCACACAATGAATAGCAAGGTCTAACCTGTATTTTGTCCAAGTGGTCCTGGTGTTTATCCATTTCACCAGGCATCTTGCCGTGCAAGGTCAGGACCTTTTCACAGCTGGTAATCACTTCGCGAGCTCTGTGCAGTGTATGCACTATGTCAGTTACCAGTGCAACTCTATCATTTGAGGAAAAAAGCCAGACAATCTCAAATGTTGTCTCTACTGTTCATTTGTGTGTTTTTCATTAATAGAGGCAAATCTAATCACAGATCTTCTGTTTTAAGCATCAACATAATTTTGGGCAAATTTTACACTAAAACCTACTTTTAATTACAATGTAAATAGAGGATACTTTAAACATGAATTGAGACAATAAATGGTAATACAAACAAAACACCTTTAAATAGAGCCCAGTCTGCGCTTAATTCAAATGCCACTCAATCTGATAAATCAAATCTATTCAAAATATTCTTGGACTACTATAGGCCTACATTCAGAGCCAAACCTGAGAGTGCAAAAAACACAGACAACAAATGATCGAGAGCAACAGGGAACTAGACCTACAACTGATCCAAAGGATAGAAAAATACCCTCACCTCTCGGAGCAGGCGTTGGAATGACGCACGAGGCTGTCCCACTTCTCGTTCAGAATGTGGTATTTTTCGGCCAGCTTGGGGAACTGCCCCTCCCGCTCCTGCAGGATGTGGGCGGCCACGTCGCTGATCCGGTCGTAGACTGGCTGAAGTTCGGCCAGATCATTGTGGAATGTCTGGGAAGATGACAAAAATCCTGATGTGAGCATTTCAAAAAAGCCCCCACAGCAAAAAATTTACTACTTTCTTTCAAAAGTGTTTTTGTTCGACCAAGGACTGATCCAGAACCAAATTGTTGTTATTGGGAGGAGTCAAACTTGTCTAAATTTACATGTCAAAACTTGACATAATTCCTCGTGACAAATGGTATTGCCCAACTTTTTTTGAAACTGCAATAATGACAAGTACCTGAAAATCATCATGAAGTACCCTGGATTCTTCCATTGTGTGGGGGAGGGGTGTTTCCACCCTGGACTGAAGTCTTTCCTCATCTTTATACAGCCTCCTGAGGAATGAGTCCATGTCCAGTGAAACGCTTTCTACTACTTGCCTGTCCTCTGAGGAAATTGAAGCTAAAAATAAGAAATTGGCATAAATTCCAACTATTCTGACAAAATTGCTTCAATAAAAATAAATGGCATTAAAAGTTTTTAAAACATAAACAACCTCAATTTATAATATGTCATACTGATACTAACTTCATTTTTTAAATAAAATATGCATATTTGTCCAAATTTGACTGCTTCTGCTGGTAACATGGATACCGTACTGGACAAGCTTTGAACAGGACAGGACACATACCCTGAGAAGTACTGCTCATCTCATCAATTAAACGGTTACAACTTTCAACCTCTCTGGCCAATTCCTGGGCAACTAGTTCCACCTGCCCCATCCGACTGGCAGCGGCATCTACCACAGGGCGCTGTTGCTCCGTGGTCACGTGGCGTTGGTCATCGCGTCTTTCCGTGTATTGCGTCGACACTTGCTCAGATGTTATGTACTGGTTTCTTGTTACTTGCAACTGCAGCTGTTGTTGGTCGGTCTCCAGGGCATCCTGTTGCATCAGATCTGTTTCAGAGCGTCTCAGCGACTTGTGTCTCAGGTCTTGCTGGGAGGAGCGGAGCTGACCAGTGATATCTTCTAAGCTGTGTTGCTGGCTTTCAATCCTGGGTGTGGGAGTGCGCACTTGGCGCGGGGTGATGCTCTCTACAACTTCTGGTTGCCTTGGCTGCTGCGCCTGACGTTGCTGCCGCTCCTGGGCAGCCACGGCTGCTTGCTGGGCTATGGTCCGCTCATATTGCATGCCCGTGGCAGTTATCTGCTCACCGAGCCTCTGCTTGGCCACCAGCTGCGCCATCTCGTCCATCTTGCGGCGCTTGGCCCCAATGTGCTCGGCACTCTCCCTCTCCAACTGCTCAGCCTGTTGGGCAACGGTCATCTCAAAGTCCAGCCTCTCCCGGGCCATTTCTTCCACCAGCCTACGCTCCTCCTCCCGCTGCCTCTCAAGGGCCAGTTGCTCAGCCTGCTGCTGCTCATAGGCAATGCGTTCTGCCTGCTGCCGCTCGGCCTGCTCTGCCTGCTGGTGTCTCTCCAGCCGGATCCGCTCGACCTGTTGCCTCTCAGCTTCCATCTGCTCCTGCATCATCCTGATTTCCTCCCTCCTCTCTATTTCCAGACGCTCTCGTCGACGGTGCTCCTCCTCAATCATCCTTCGCTCTAGGTCCATCTCAGCTGCCTGCTGCTGCTGCTCCCGCCGCCTCCTCTCCTCCTCGAACCTCATCTGCTCTGTGTTCTCTTGGAACTGCTGTAGCATGGCGTGGCGTCTGGACTGGGGGAAGGTACCACTCCGGTCCGGCGGCACCACCTGGGGCGGTCGAGCCTCATGGCCCAGGGTTTGCTGCTTGAGTGTGACGGTCCGGTGCGTTTGGATTTCTGGGGCAGCCATTCTCTCCAGCGGCACCTGCGGCGCCTCGCCGGTGGGGAACACCTCCTGGGTCCTGATCTTTTTGGTAGTGACTGTCCGGTGGGTCTCACCGTCTGGCATCTGCTCCGTTATCTCCTCTGTAATGAGCGTCTGGCCATCCTCCGTGGTCTCCTTGCGGGAGGTGACCGTGCGGCGGGCCGAGGTGGACCTGGTCTGCAGCTCCTGGCCATTCTGAATTCGCTGGACAATCTGCTGCTGTTGCTGGGGAACTTGTTCGGTCTGCTGGACCGTTGTCCGCCCAACCGAGTCAATGCTCTGTGTGGACTGCCTCTGGCTGAGGGTCTGAATCCACTGTTGAAGTCTTGTCTGTGTTGTGCTCCACATTTCAACCAAATGTTTGAAATGAGCTTCAAGTCTGTGTGGGTAAAATGAACAAATTCAAAAGTCAACACCTGCTGCTCAGAATCATTTCTAAGTAATCACAATGCAAAATGGAGAATCAAATCAAACTATTAAATCATGTTACAAAATGGCAAAATCGAAAATCGTTTTGATGTACCAGTAGTGATAACACAAAATGTGAAGTAAGACCAACATTAAGGTCAATGTTACCATTCCACATGACGGAATTAAAAGATTTGTTGGAAGTAAAAATCTTGGATTATGAAGAAGAATACCCTAAAAATGCCACCCCATAAAGACAACAGCAATTTTCCTTCTAGTTTTTTATTGTTAATATCTTTTCTTCTCTTCTACTCGCCAGGTCATATCTTCACCCAATTATTGACTATCACTAAGAGGATCATCCAGAGGTCATACTCACTGAAGGGCATTGTCTATGGCCTCACTGTTGGGGGGTGGAATCATGAAGCACACCCCAGGGACGTTGCCCTCCATCCCCGCCCGATTGACCACCCGCCATTTGGTCCGGTTGGCATTGTCAAGCAACACGTACTCCTGCCCTTTCACAACATTTAACTGTATTGAGCAGGCAGGGAGAAAAAGACAAAGTCAGAGATTTGGGTCAAACTACTTTGATGTATACACTTTAAGCCGCCGTGACCATGAGCACAATTTTTTTATCCTCTTGATTCTGTTCTCAGTGCCTCACTCTGGCACTATGTCAATGTGCACCCTCCATAAATTCAGAATACGGACACAGAGTGCACTGAACAATGTATCTATGGAAACTTGCTCTCAGGCTGCACACTACAGCACTTCCAAAAACTGTCACAATGACATACCTATGAAGCTTATGAAGATTGGGAGTAGTTATTGAAATATTTAAAGCAAAGTTTTCAACAGATGTAAACATTTGAAGAGTGTTTATATTATTTTCAACACAGGTCGCTAAATGATGCAAACTGAAAGTCTTTGCTGTCAATATCCAGCTACCCCCCCGGGTATCTGTTGAAAACTTGGAAATGAAGCGACAAACAATAAGGCATATTTCCATGTTACTGTCTGTTCTCTCTATGCACATTCCACCGAGGGTGCGGAATATGCCCGATTATGAGTACCAAAGGAAAAACATTTCATCTGTACTGGTGCACTTTTTGATCGATTTCAACAACAGAGTTTATGATGTCAACAGTCAAGACATTGTAAAGGACCTCATTTTGTCTGTGTGGCTTTGAAAGAGGGCTTACATCAATGCCGGGGTAGTCACACACGGCGAAGATGGGGATGGGCTCGGTGAGACGCTGGCGTCTCTTCTTGAGGTGCACAATGTGCTTACTCCTCTGTTGGAGATCGCGCAGGACCAACTGCTGCTCTTCCAATCTTTGTTTCATTTTCTGTCAAGGGTGAATAAAAATGGACAAAACATTTGCTGGCATCACTGTAGATAGACAAGCAGAACAACTTTTGTGCCGCCGGGAGATGCAGGAAACTTACTGAGCACAGGACACTACGAGTGATTCACAGTAGTGCGCCTCCAAGAGTTTGCAATGCGTAGGCCAATAACAACGAAGTAGTTGACAATTTCCAAACGTGCATTGGGTCGACAGATTTCGCGCATTGTGATTAGCCAATCCATTGCAAACTCTTGGAGGCGCACTATTGTGAAACACCTGTATATGCTTGAGAACAGATTACCAGTCAAACTGGATATTTGAGAGACATGCGTGGTAAAAACAGACGGGCATGTGGGGTTTGCACGGTTGGCAAAAACGGACTACTGTTAAAAATGGTACTCTGTGTTCAAAGGCACACTGCTTGAGACCGGCTCTCAGGTGAGTTCGACCATCACAAAACTTAGCTCAGAATTCGGGCAACAAACATGTAGCCACTCCATAAAAAAAAACCAGGCCAAGTGTACATTTTTTTGGAATGAAGTTGAACCAACTTTAGTCATCACTTGTCACGTTGACAGCCATGTTAATCTACAGACAAATCTTTGCTACGATTCTGTCAGAGCACAGCATGTGCTCGAATTTTCCTTGAAGAAGGCTCATTCCAAACAACAAACCAGACTGCAACGATCAAATTTGTTAGACAACATCATTCTTTGCACAATTCTTTTTTAATATTCTCATCTCGAATTTGCAAAAGATAGACTGGTTACTCACCATTACTTCTTGCAGCAGCTGTTGTGCCTCCATTTGTGATAAATCTTTCTTATCCATCACAGAGGCCAGAATTTCTTGACTGTGAGCCATCCACTGCTCCAACTCTTTTGTGTCGTAAAAGAACTGACAAAAAGAAGAGAACGAACTTGTGCAATGCATCGTCTTACAAGAGATTCTAATGTCATATTATCTTTTTCTTTTCCGATAGAATATTCAAAATTTTAACTTTTTTATGGGACTTTCATCACTGAATGTGTTTCACAGTAGTTTTAAGTTGGACATTAAGAACTGTTAATGTGCATCACTATAAGTATAGTTAATTAGTAATAGAAAAAGAGTAAAAAGGTTGAACTGGTAACATTGTTAATTAATTTAATTTATCGTACAAAAAAACTGTCTCAAACGTAGGTCGTTAGGGGGAAAAATGGAGGTGGCCAATAGTTTGTTACCCCCCAAAAACAATTGAGTTTATATCCTTCAAAATAATAGTCAAAACTGTGTACTCTCAAACAATATGTACAGATGAAAAAGGCATCCCCCACCTGTTCAAATTCTGTGGCAGTCTACTTTTAAATTTGACTTTAAACTGAAAAAGCATCATTTAAATAAAGCCAGTGCAACTACAACTGCTAGGATGTATGATCTAAGTGTGTGGCTACATTGTCAAGTCACAATACACCTTTGACTGGGGTCTGGTAATTTTTGCTTTGTTTTTTCTTTTTAGGAAGGACAATCAAAACATCACCCAAAACAAATGAGAGAGGAAGATAAAATAAATTCAAATATCAACTGACCTCAATTCCCACTATTAAAGCATTTAAGTCTTTTTTTTAAACACGTCACTCTTTGGTTTAGTGCCAGCAACACCACAAGCAAATCTTGACGCAAATTTATCTTTTTGTTTCTCCTTGGAAGTTTTTAAGGCACAACTTGACAATACCCAGCTGAACCCAGAAAGTTTGCATTTGTTGTCAATTGGGGTGTAACTGATCGGGGGCAGTAAGTTTTCATTCAGGATCATTCCTCAGTTCACCTAATGAGGAATTCTTCAATTCGAAAGTTCTTTTACAAAAAAAAATTTTATGCATAAATGATGGCAATGTTTGAATGGATGACCACGGCGGTATCCAGGGAAGATGAGGTCAGTTAATGGCAACATGGATTAGTACGTCACAAAATGTTCAGGGATACAAAAAAAATGGACACAAAATTCAATCTATGGAAAAAAAAAATGCCTTCACCGTCATGGGAAGTGAACAGTAGAACTGCAAAATCATTCCACAGAGAGGCTAAACAAGATAGCTACAGGGATATGTACGTGTATAACAATCTATAGTACATTATGGGAACCACTTACCATGCAAAGCACAACACGAACGAGTTTTTACCAAGCAACCACAACAGAGATTCGTAGGTGGGTGTGAGTGTGAAGTGCCGGAGGGAGTTTCCACGAACAATATACACGTACGAAACGAAGGGCGGGAGGAACTTTGGCACAGAGAGGTACATGATAATGACGTCATCTGTGGCATGTGGCGACACGGGACTCAAGGACCGAAATCAAAGAGGGGGCTTACTGCAGGCAGATTCGGCCTTCCGAGGGGGTTTGATATTATCTTGTCCCCCAACGTAATGTCATGCACGCATGGCCACGTGCCACATGCTGCACCGTCAACGAGGAATACAGTAGAGACGCATTACATCATGCAAACCATATCTTGATATCATGCAATACAAGACAACGAAAAAGACAAAATTCACCTCTAGTGACCACCACTTTCGTGCAAACCTTCTTCCAATGAATGCAAGTAAACGATAGACCACTTTAACAATTTCCTTCCAGAATGTTGAATTGGCAAATTTATTTGTATTTTTTTGAAACCGTCGTCGAGAGTTCAGCGGTTTTAAGTTACAACTGTATTTTTTTCCCCTAGTCACGTCTAACACTAGCTATCATCTGTCTCAAACACTTGCTTTTTCTCAATTTTTCTCAAACATTTCATTATAGCTGGAAAATAAACACAAGTGTAACAAGTTCTTGGACTTCATAATCTGTAATGTTTTTCAGTGAAATATGCTATACAAAACAAGCCAAGCAAAATTCATTTCAATAAAGAAATCTGAAATGTATCAACAAGACAATAAGTTGGATACATCTAAGTTCCAATTTTGACTTGCAATCAAATTTTAAAAGTAAGAAATAATCTCTCCTACAATAAAAGGATGTTGGAAATAGGTCTTTTTAAAAGCAGCCATGTTTCCAGATTTTGGTTAAACACTGTTTTGAAGCAAGGACAATGTGTTACATTATAAGTGCGCCAACACCAGCCACTTCACGAATACGCTAATTAGGCCTAATTGTCACAACTCACTGCTCTTGCTCCGTTTCCATAGTAACCCCAAAATGGGACATAAATTTGCGTTAATCTTCATGATACTGAAAATACACACACTATTCTGAGATCCATGCAAGCTTGGTAAAAAAAAAAAATTTTCAGGGAAAATGAACTTACAAAATGTCGGTTATGGGCGTTAATGTTTCATGCGAATGGGCACAAAGCTCTTGAGAAGGGGACCGGTTAATAATGGGTCAGGTGTTGGTAAGTGTTGGCCGTCATTTGCAGAACAGCATGAAATGGGTGAACATGTGAATGGCAACCTACTGAATACTGTGTTACCTCAAACATTCAAACAGCCACATAACGATTGTTAGGTATTAACACTTCTGTCAGGGTGTACCAAACATTTGATGAAAACAAAAAAACCCCAATGCACATCAAAAATGTACAGTGACTCAACAATGTCTACAAGAACAATTCTATGCTCTTGTTTGGGTTTGGGTGAAGCTTTGGACCCCTGGTACCACTGGGAAATTTGAGTAGTCGAATGAAGGAATGTTACTGTAGTGTTAACCGCAATGTGAAAACACACCCTTTGAACAGTGAGAATTTGAACAGTGGTGGAAACGGGCTACAAGTGGACTGTCATGTGCCAATCCAACAAGAATGTACATGTATGTGTACGACTCATTAAAGGACAGTGTGCATGCATAACACCAGAGAGATTAAGGCAGACTGGGCCGGAGTGTTCACACCAAGCTGTTAAGGCACAAGAAGTTCATTCGCCCACAGCATTAGTAAAAAGCTGATCTTGGTTTCCAAAAGATTATTTATTGACAAGTGACACTCCTGTCCTGCAGTGCTAACAAGATGCTACGGTTTTAACCGTCAGTCAACACCGGAGGTCGGGCTTGGTGCTCAACTTGCCAGATGGCATTTTAAGGACGACACTTTATTTCCCTTGCAAGTCTGTTCATGCTTTCATGCACGATCAAATGACTGTTAGATTATGCGTAAATCTGCTTTTAAACCCCGTGAGGTCAAAGAAACTTCAACGGTAATGTAGCAAATGACATCAGAGCACCATGTTGATTGAGAAGAGTGAAACGTGTTGAACCCCCAAAAAAGAGGTTCATAACATCTGACACAATGTTAAGTGGGAATATACGGCAGAGGGACAAGGGACCATTCGCTGCATATTTTCAGGAATCTAAGTGCATCTTTCCAGTCTGGTACCCAAGATGTCCCAGGCACTATTCCACACCTTCAGATCCTAACTCAAGGGAATCCTAGAATACATGTCTTCAAAGTTGTACACGATAGAGCTCTGAAGACGTCCTGTTTCTGAGAACAGATAGGGACAAGTGTGTTCGAGGTGGGTAACTAGTTTTGCTCACTTATTTCCTTGGTGGAGAGGGACATACAGCAGCATTTGACGGTACATCAGACCGTCCCCCAGTATTAAAGGAGACATTTCAAGGGAATGCACAGCACTGAAGTACCGATTACAATAAGAATCAAATGGCGAGGGCTTGTCCAAGTGAACTTAAATGTGTACATGCACATACAAAATGTAAATTTGTTGCAATTCAGAGAAAAAAAAATCGGACACTGTACTGTAAGTGCAATGTATCTATGAAAATCTGTATACACGGCTATGGTGGGGGCGATTTGTGTATGTGTGGATATTTGTTGATTACCCTGGGGGATGGAATCGGCTCATGGGATTTAAAATTACACCAAGAGTGGGGATAACAGATCCATAATTTGGAACTTGGCATCTGGGTGGGGAATTGGCTGGGCTACGGTGAGTATGGCAGCGTATATAATGTACATGGTGTGCAGGAGAATGTTGTTACCCCTTGCATGGGGGGACGGACTTGTTTGTTGATTCTCCATTCCACATCCATCCCCCCCCCGAAGTAAAAGGTTTTTTGGAGGGAGAGGGGCAAAGACAGGATGGATAAGGTTGGGAGGGGGATGATTTTTCTTTCTTTCTTTCTTTACCTGGAAGTACTCGGCGGCATACTTAAGGTGCGTCTCCAGGGAGTTGGCCAGCTGGGTCACGGTATTCCACTGAGACTGCATGGCTGACAGGTGGTCCTGGGCAAAGCGAAGCGAAAGCACAAGAGAAAAAAAAAAAGGTTGGAGGGAAAAGGGTGGAGGGGGGGGAAGGATTAGACCACAGGATGGTTCCAAAATAAAGAGTATGGAGTAAGCTGATTCAACGATGAGACAACTGGTTTGAGGCACTGCTCCAGATTGGTTAACAGATCTTCACTTCTGACCAAGTTTTTAAGACAGAGTTTTCAGAAACAATCAGATTTTTGAGGTACCGGTAGATGTAAGTTTGGGGCAAAATTGATACATGAACAAATAAAAAGACAAGAAAAAGAATGGGGAGGGGAGGAGTGAAACCCAACTGGCCTTCCTACTTCACTTCTCCAGTATGTTTGTCTGATTTCTGTTCACTCTTGAAGTAATGATTTTCCAAACAAAAATGTACATTTAAGACAACAGTTGGTATAGGTATTTCTTTTATACATCAAAGTTCAAGACTGCATCAGATATGCACATAGCAACTTTCCTACAACATCAGGGAACTTCTATCCCCAACAAACAGACGAAGAAAGACAATACCAACTTGAAAAAAAAACAACCCTGATTCACGCAAAATGCAAAGACAAACAAAACATGTTAGGAAGGCACGGGCTGACAATAAGTGATAAGGCTGGCTCACTGATATGCAGGGTTTGGCAGGGTGGTTCTCCATCATCAGACGTTCCCCGTGGTTCTGGACAGACGTGAACTGGCGCTCTCGCCCCTGAATCTCTCGCATCAGTGTCTGGTGGAAACAAACCAAATAGAGGAAGACAACCGATCAGAGAAATCTGAGACCCCTCTTTTGTGAAGATGCCACAATATTTCTGAAGAGTTATGTTGCAGTTCTAAGTATGGACTCCGTACATGATTATGCTCTCAGAAGGAAAAAATGTACGGTTTCACTCAATGTTACCAACAAACACTTTGATACAATTTCTGTTGCGCAGTCACGCTAGGGTGAATTTCCCTCAGGCCACGCAGTACAGGTTTTGCGCCCATTCAGTTGAAAACCCCTTCCTTTAGATTTGGGAGAATCTGGGAGGGTTCATTAATCCCGCTGTTTCCTCCTTCAAACCTCTTCAAAATTCGTTCACAATCCCAAAACTTAGTTGTAGAGGTTTGCGGTAGCACCATGCAAGGGTATCTCTTTAATGAGTATGTGTGATCTAAAGAGAACCGGGGGTACTCTAAAAACTGTCACACCGATAGATGTAAATACCGTTCATTCACACATCCCCCAAAGTAGGAGGATGGGTCATTAAGCACTGATTAAGATGCATTTGCTCCCACTGAAATGGGGTCAAAATCAGTCAGGGTCAGTCTCGATAACTATTAAACACTAAGATGGGCAAGTGTTTTTCAGAGAGCTTGTGGAGAGAACAATTCAAAAGCTTGTTTGGGTGGAACTCGAACCCATAAATTCCTGTCGTTCTGTGCAGGTGTCTCTATTATCTGGACCTCCAAAACGAAACCACATATCGAAGTCTACACCTCCACGACGCACACCGACCCCTTGCCATCTACCCGCCTTTACTCTTCCCACCCACCTTGTAGTGTTTCTCCAGTTCGGCAATGTTGAGGTTCTTGGCGCTCCAGTCGCGGTTGGCGTGCTCGTCCTCCAGCTGGTTCATCCACATCATCTCCTTGGTGGCCATCTGGACAAACTCCAGCAGGATCTCCAGGTCGCGCACACGCTTGACGGCCATGTCCTGGGTGGCAGTCGGGGAGAAAGTAAGGACCACGAGAAATGTTGCAGGTACGCAACTTCGACAAGTAGTTCATTTACCTGCGTATATCGCATTGTGCAGTTATCTCATATTCTACAGTTATTTTGAGACATTATTTCAATCTGTCCACACAGAGCGGTACGAAATGCACATTGCTTATAGTGTGTCAAATATTAAAACTGACCACATCGGATTGTGATTAATTTTTCACAAGGTGCATATGCAGTGTGTATGCACACCATTTCTAATGGTCCCTAGAATTCGCTACCTCATGTCATTCTGGACTTGCTTCTTCAATGATTCCGATATATCATGTCAGGCTTCCAAATGCCACAATCAAATTATTCAAATGTTGACCATTGGACCCACTGAAAGTTCTCACATGCACATATTTAAACTTATGTACATGACTGTTTGCAGTCAGCCTTTCCGTGCAAAATGAGGCAAATTGTTGTTTACTCCTGGGAAGATGTGGTTCATGCATAACAACAGTTGATGGCCTGTAGTTCTTCCTCTGTCACATTAATCTTGGCCACCCTTCGGTCTCCATTTTGGACAAGCAATAGAAGACGGAAAGAGCTCACAACAAACAGCAAGAGCTAACCATAAAAGTGACCTGACGCAGCAAAACTGACATTAGGATAAATTGTGTACAGTTACACAAGGACAAAACAGTGGATGTTCTCTTTGCAACTCCCTTGTCAGAGTCTTGCTGCAAAATGCCTGAGGGGACTTACAAGGAGCTGCTTGTAGGCGTCCTCCACAATGGCTATCTGCTCCTGGTTACGCTGCAGCTCCTCTCCGGTCATGTTGGACTATTCAAACAAGAAATATTAAACGTCTTTCAGCAAAACTTAAACTTTCAATTCACTGGAGGGAAGATGGAAGCAGGTTTGAATGGAATAAAAGTGCTCTACCACCAGCAAAGGGGAGTGTGGCATGTGGGACGGGGTTTGTGACTCGGGATCCGAGGATCAGGGGTCTGAATCCGGCTGGCAGCCATAGGGTGCAGCCTTGGCCAGGTAACTTAAACCCCGCTTGCCCCCGTCTCCGCTGAGCTCTGTAAAGAAGTACTGGCATTAAGCTGGGGAGTAACCTACGGTGGACAGGCACCCCAACCCTGTGGGGGAGGGGGGAGAAAGTATATTGTCAATCGTTTCATGCCAAGGACACCAGAGGTAATTATGCACCTGATGGGCCACAGTGGCTGGGGACAGACTGTGCTTCATCTCATTCTGCTCTACCAACTGCCCTTGGTCCTGATGACGCCACACTTTGTAGACATGTGCTTCGTGCTCAGTGGACCACAGGAAAGTGCACAACTGTGACGTCATCATATAGGCATAGTGCTCTAGACCATGACTATGTCAATGGCCATCCATTTATTAGTGTGTCGGTTCAGGAGCATTGCACACAAGCCGCAAGGTCCATATATGCTTTCTTGCAGGAGTCAATCAAAGTGTACCTGTGCCCATGACACAAGCAATGCTGCAAACCCAGGAAGTGGCAGTTTTGAATCACTCAGGGTGGACATCTGGCCTTTCCTCTTGAATGGCAAAGGGGGAAACTGATTTTCATACTGGGCTCAAAACCTACCAGAACGCTGCGGCACTTGGAGATGTTGCGCTCGTACTCGCGGATGGTGTGCAGCTCGCCCTTGCTCTGCTGCAGGGCCTTCTGCACTTTCTCCAGATCGTCTCCGTAGCTGGCAACTTTCAGGGAAGACTGCAACAGAACAGCAGAGATAAAAAACGATAAATCTTGATTGCTCGTTTTCTCAAAGAACTGTACCTCACTACTGATAAAATGCTTCTATCACAAAGGAAAAAAGACTAATGCAGCCAAATGTTAGGGTCTGGAACTCCTGATCACAGAGTCAGGGGGTTCAAATCCAGCAGCTCGGAGTATATTGTGAACTTGGGCAAGTCATTTTACTCTAACTTGCCTCTCTTCACCAAAGAGTCAATGGGTACCTGAGAGGGCAGAGATGGCTGCTGTGTTTGATTAGCCTTGTGTTACTGATGTGGTAGCATCGAGCTATATACTTCTCGGGGAGCCAAGAGGAATGTTTACTGGCCCAATGACCAGGGGTAATACAGTGTAAAGTGTACTGAGAGTCCAATGGTACTGGTAAGCGTTATACAAACATGTCGTCTCATTATGGGTGTGTGAGATGCGGTAACTATAGCAACCAGATGCGGGACGGCAGGCCCACCGCTGCTCACCTCCTTGTTCTTGACCCACTTGTAGCAGTCCTGGATGAACTGGTCCACGTTGCCCTCCACGAAGCGGCGCTCGGTGCGCAGCTCCACCCGCCGCTCCAGCTTGACGGCGTCACCCTGCACCATGGTGCGGGTGGTCACCTTCTGGGTGGTGCCGGCAATCTGGAAGTTGCGCAGGGTGGCCAGTCGATCCTGCAGCTGCTTCAGTCTGAACGAGAGATAGAGACGACACTCATGTCGTAATTCGGTAAAAATGTGAGAATTTCAGCAGCACCATTCATTTGGATAGACTTCTTAACAAAGTTAAACCATGAATGAATGACTCCAACAATCTGATCTCTCAGTACATTTTTTCATTGACGTACTTTTCAACTACTTGACCAACAACGTACTCAAGTGATGTTTGATAATAACAACAGTGCCTCCTGATGTTTACTGTACATGATTTGATAAATGTCCCGATACTAAATCATAGGCCTGGCGATATGTGTCTCCAAAGCTTTGTACTCATAATCAACATCTTGTGGGGAATTCTCAAGACTTTGGGTTCAAATCCAGCTGGCTGCAAGCCGCATACTTGGCAGGGGACTGAGGTGGCCCAAGGAATACCTGATAAGTGTGATGACCAGGGTTTATAAGGATAGGCCCCTTGAATGTCAAAGTGGTGAATATGTACTCTTTTTAAAGGTCAACATTATTTCCTTCAAAATCCATGAAACAGTCCTCAAATGTCCACTCACTTTCGGTCAAGTTCGGGTCCGCTTGGGTGGTTGTTGGTTCTCAGTTGGGCAACCTCGCGCATCAGGATGGCGATGTTTTTGTCACAGGTCTGCAAAAGAAGTCCAGAGAAGGGTATGGAAAATTTATTGCAAGACCACTGGACAGGCAAAAGACTTCTAACAAACTCTCAAATTGGAAATCGGGGAATGCATTGCCAGTGAGACAAACCTGCACAATGCTACTCACTAGAAGTTATTACAGAGAACTGTGGCACTTTGCCAACTTTGGCTCGTACTTTCACATGGCTGCAATGATAAACCCTACTCTACCTGCATTTAAGTTGAGGCCACCTAAAACTATCACAAGACCAAGGCAACACCTGCGGTAAGTGATTCAAGACATAAGTTACTCAAATGAACTGCGACAAAAAGCATTCATTTGTGACTATTCACTTTCTCCAACTGATCTTATGTCTGGCTTTGTGGTGGTTTCGAATACAGCACTCTTCTCATGGGTTTTGGGCCTGTTTGGCTTTCGAAAGACAGGAACGTTAACCCCTTCATGCGGGGACGCGTTAAGACATGCCGTAAAAGTTGAGACCCTCAGCCCGCTTTTCAGCTATTATTCTCGGCCCACACTCGAGCGAACACGGTGAAAGAAGGCAGACCCTGGCTCTTGTGTATATGGTAATCGGTCTTTGTGTGTAGCCCAGAAATTAAAAGACTGAATAGGCATCATAATCAACAGCTTCACAATAGTCCCCACTTTGAAAAGAGGCAACGGGAACGTGGAAGCTTGAGTAGAGCCGCATGCCACTGAACAATCAGCCTTTTCACCGTGTAATTCAAAGCGTGCAGAGCACGCTGGGCCACCAACCGAGAACTTGCTGTTTGGCAGGTGGCCTTCATGACCAAACGAGGCTGGAATTCTTGGAGTCGGCTTTCGAAAAGAAATTCCTGTCGAGAAGTTTCCTCTTCTTTAGTTGGTGCTTTCTAAGAAGGGAAAAATTGAAAACGCTGCAGGCCTCTTTCGAGGGTTACTTACTCGGGATGCAGATTCAATGTCATCGATGGTGTTGCGCACATCGACGGCGGTCATCTTGTCGGCTTTGCCCTCGGCATCATGGATGCGGGCCTGGATAGTGTCCAGGTCGGCCGACACCATGGGGATCTGTCGGCTGACCTTGTTGGCCAGGGTGTCCTGCTGCTCCATTCTGATGAGGAAAAGAAAAGAGAATGAAAGACTTGGTTGGCCAGGGACCCGGAGCTCTACATCAGAACTATGTATTTGAAATGTCCATCTTGAATCAAATAGGTTTAGAGATGCCAACTCCCCCTTCCCCAAAATATAGAGGGATGAGAAATAATGCCGAAGTGGTCCTTAAATTTCAAAAAGGTCACTGACTACCAGATGGTTAGGATTATTACAAAGAAAACTTCTGATCACAACGAAAGCTGGGCCTTAGGACGCCGAGCGAAATTGTTTGACGGCAAAGTGATGGAGTGATGAGCTCTGGGGAGTGAGCGAGCATTCTAAAATTGCAAGAGATACTGACTAAAATATACACAGCAAGTAAAAAAAAAGGGCGAGAAGCAGGAATTAACAATATTCCTGCCACTGGCTGATGACCTGCTATCGCTAAGCGAAGTATCTCTGAGCTTACTATGCTTGCTCACTTGAGAGCCCCTTGAAACTGTCGCTGGGGTAACATTTCATTCTAACTCTTAAACTTGTGCTAAATGAAGCTGCTTTTAGCACAAACTGTGCCATGAAACATCACTACAATATGAATCCCAGTAATATTTGGCCGTTAATGCCCGTCCACTTAAGAAATTTTTTTCCCCAAGTTAAGCAGATTTGTGTGCCAAGCAATTCCATCCAAGTGGCCCGCGGTTCTCCGCTTCATCCATTCGTTTAAGCACAGTAGTCATGACTGACCCCCTTCCCCAGTACCTGTGGAGTTCGGAGTTGAGGATGTGCTCTCTCTGCTGGATGGCCAATCGGCAGCTGTCGAAGGCCGACTCCAGGTTGTTGATGTGCAGGCCAGCGGGGGGACGAAACTGGCCTGTGGCTTGAGTGCTCCTCTGTGGGAAAAAACCAAGAAAAATCAAAATGGGTCATCCATTTCCCCCAAACCTGACAGACAGTATTTCTTTGGAGTACACATATATGTATGTAGAATGCGATGAAGTTTTGATGACTGATAGATGCAGAAGATTATTGAAGGACAAAAGCTCCACATTCAATTAGAGAAAGGCAGAAACTTTATGATCCAAACAAGACCTGAAAATTAATCCAACTTTTTTTCTGAGGCCTCCATTTATTACTAACTTTGGTTAACAACCAGGATTTTTTTCTGCTTTTTTGTAGTTTAGCCCCCAAAATACAACACCAGCTCCATGGTGGTTCTCAGACTATCCATCACCTGAGAGACATTGAGGCCAATTCAAGGAAAAAACATGGACCAAGCAGTCATCAGAAGCGCCCAAACTCGGCTCACCTCCACTTCACGGAATCTGCTGGCAAGGCGCTGCTTCTCAGCCTCTTTGGTGGGGAGTTCCTCGGACTTGAAGCGACTCAGATCAGCTAGAGCTCTCTGCCCAGAGAAAAAAGGCGAGCGGTCCGTGGTGAAAGAGTCAACACTTGAAGGACACCAATAGTTTAGGTGAGAAGTAAGCTCACAGCAGTCTAGTACCACATACTTGGCTTGAGACATATATAATATATATATAATATATATATATAAATATTCTCTTCAGCTCATAAAAAAAGCAATAAGATTGAGAACAGTGATTGGACCAAACAGGAATGACATCACCAGCTGGCCAACCAATCGCCGTGCACAAGTCAATACATCAGCACACGACAATGGTCCAATCAGGAGAAAACCTCAAGGTTTGGCATGAACTGGTACCGTCAGTCCGTAGGTGCTGCCACTAGAATGTCTTTACCTTGATTTCGGCCGTAGATTGTGGAATGCTACGGTCGTCCATCATGTTGGCTGTGCGCTTGGCCCAGTCCATCATCTGGCGAGCCGGTTGAGCGTACACCTCCCACTGGGGATCAGTGCCCTAAAACAAAGTGAACATTATGGAAATATTAAACATTGGCCCTCCGGAATAAAAACAGGTAGTGTTTCTGAATGAACTCATGACTGTAAGAACTTGTGCAATTATCTAACACAAGCATTAATGTCTCATTTTTGTTGAGAAAGTGCAAAGACTGTGTTTACAGGTTTGCAAGATTTTTTCCAAGTTTAATGAAGGAATTCTACAAAATCAGACCAAACTGTACCAAACAGTGTTTTCAGTTGTGGTAATCTTCTCGCAGCACAGACTGTGTTCTTGAAAACAATATAAAAATGAGGAAAAAATCAGGAATCAACCGATGATCAGATCTGACATCAAATCAGGCCAATGTTCAGCAACATTGGCAAAACATAGGATCGGCAAAATTTGACCTTCCTGCCGATATGAGTGCTGATGTTAAAACTGAAGAAAGGAACAAACTCTGCTGTCAGTTCTGGCAGAACAAAAATCTCATATTTTTATTTGAGCATGAAAAAACATGGGTTTTTTTTTCATTTGGTGAGATCAATGAGCAGTTACACCAATGGTTAAGCCCACATAAAAATCCCTAAAAGTTACATCTGCACGATCCGTTCCGCAACAACTCAACGCACGGACCACGGACCTAAGGAGCAGTCTGAATGCATGTTTACCATTTCCACTGACCGCCGTGAAAAGAGCCAGGGAACTGCACCGCATGTGGCACCACGAGGTGTTGTGTGACCAGTCTGAAGGTAGCCCGTGATTTTAGCCTTTACTTAAGGCATGCGTGGCTACCTGGACACACAACGTGCACCTCTGCCGGATCGGATCAATTCCGAGATTGGCCGATGTTCCGATTAAAACATTGGACATCGGATCTGCAGTTAAAACCTACATCGCTTGACCCCTGGAGAAAAATTTATGGAAAAGTCTGCCTCTGTCTCAATTACTGCCCTCTCTAAGTTCCACTTGCTTTTGCAAGAACAGGACACCTCTTCTCATAGGTACAATTTCCAAACTTATAATTACCAAAACCACAGTCCAAATGTAAACGCACTTCCAGTCAGTCTTCCCCTACCAATCTCCCATTCTGTCTCCCTTTCCAAAAACACCAACCCCGTAACAACAGGGAAAAAAACAACTCACAGCGGCACTAGCGGAAGACGCAGCGCTGGAGCTGTTCTGGCTGCCGGAGGAATGGATGACTGTCTCCTGGACATGCGAGGTGACGGCGGGGCCCGTCTGCCTCGAGGTCTTGAGGGTGGTGGTAATCGTCGACGTCTTGGTCTGCTTGGGGGGGACTGTGGGGAAGACGTCGTACAGGGAGGACACGTAGGTCATGATGGAACGCTCGTCGGGCTTGGGGACATCCACATCTGTTGGAGAAAGAGAGAATAAGCAATTATCCAAATTGTTCATAGGAGTTCAATTCCCTTGAGCACCGTTAAAATCTCCAGGCATTCTCGAGACAGGTCGTGTACAGCAGAAGGGCGAGGCAGACACTTACTGGTATGTACCCCACCTAAAAAGCACTAACCTAATGACACTTAAATATACCTAGGTATCTGCAGCAGGGACGACAAATATAATACAACCAATCGTGACGAACAGGTTTTTAAGAGATTTTTGACAGATTTTTAACACCTAAATTAAAAAGTCAGAATCAACTATTGATCAAACCCAAACTAGACAGACAAAGAAGTAAATGATTAACTAGAGGACAAATCTAATTGTTATCAGCACTGCATGCCCAGCCCCGTCAAATGAACAAGTGCATTCGAGAAAAAGGCTTATTAGACAGGTTAACTGGGCCACCCATAACCTTTTTTGCTGACTTGGGCAGACATCTCAACTACTGGGCAGAAGATGGCCAAGCTAATTCCAAGCAGACATGGCAGTGGGCCTTGTAACAGACAACACATTATGAAATTAACTGTGTTCAGGGAGTGTTAATTTCAAAGAAGGTTCTCTCCTTCACGAATGACTGACTGACATATTGAAGTAAAACTGCATTGTGTGCCTGTGGAGAACTTGGGAAAAAACTTTGCTGGCTCAATCACATTCTGGCGGTATCATTTTTGGCCTAAGACTGAGCTTTTTGAAAGAAGGTATAGTGGCCAACTTTTCACATACACCCCAATACAAAAAGACAAGACTCTTGCCAGTGACTTGTCCAATATTTGTATGCTATTTCTCCCTGTAACCTCATAACGTGGGACACTGTGATGGGACGTGGGGAGAGACTCACCTTCTGGTTCCAACAGACTGGTGACTCCTAGGTGCTTCTCGGCCACGGTGAAGGCGTGTCTCAGGTTCTTCTTGTGCTCCGAGGGACGCAGGCTGGGGAAGTCCACCAGGTCAGGCCGGTTGCGGTAGATGATGGCGTTGAAGGCCAGGCCGTCGCGCCAGCTGCGTTCAAAGTCAGTGACGTGGACGCCGGGGACGCCGTCCACTGTCTGCTTGGCCCACTGCAGGAGGGCATCCTTGGGCTGGAGGTGCTGGCCTTCAATCTTGACATCTGAGATCTGAGAGATGGAAGATGGATGGGGGAAACAATGGAAGGATTTTTTTTTAAATTCCCCTTTTGAGATTTTGTCATAGACTAACAGAAGACTTCCTGACTTTCGGGTCTTAATACTCAGCTTTTCAAAAGACGGGTGTCCTCATCTGCTTTGATTAAAAAAAAACAGGCCCACCTAAGTTGCTGAAATTTTAGACTTTTACTTGCAATACTAACATCAGAAAGGGTGCTGCAGCGGCCCATGGATCAAAAAAACAACCAGACATCCATCTAGGTAAAACCTTGACTGTAAGTCAGTTACATTATCATCACACTTCTGTGAGAGGATCCAGAACCACATGCTAGAAAGGGGGGGTGGACAACATGTTTTTAGGGGGAGGGGATAACATTTTATGGCCATTCTGAGAGGCCAGGCTACATTCAGGGGCTCTGTCATTTTGGGAGGGACAAACCATAGCCCCTCCCATCGCCCCCCTCCCAACTATCTGCCCATGCACACTTCTGGCCTGCCTGTTTTTGCTAACTTCAGGGCCATGCCAGGGGTCTCTTGTCAAATTGTTTGGGGATGCGTATCCATGCTTCCTCCAGCATGCTGAAGCTTAACAGGCATTCCCCAGGTTGAAGACCATCGCAGCATGGCATTCAAAGTCTCCTTCATTATCACAGTCTGCCCACTGCAGCCTGTAACAGATTTGCAAGCTCCAAACTCTTACACAGTCAGGCAGCACCAGACCTATCCCTGCCAAATCAGCTGACCCTCAATGGTCTGGTCAAAAATTGCCTAAGGACTCTCCCCTTGAGACTGGGCCTTGAGAGGACAGCAAAGACTTGACACAAAAGACCCCTCTAACTAACTGTGGGCCATTTCAGCTATCCACAAACATACATGTACAAACATGGAGGGAAATGGTCCTACAGTGCTATGAGAGACTCATCATTTGACAGCCAACAAGGCCACAACAATTGGCTAAAGCACAATACGACAAGGTCAAAAACCAACACAGGTTGATTGACAAACGCAACTGCCTAAAAACAGAAAAATCACTGTTCTTGTTGAAAACTACACAATGCAGAAAAGTCACAAATCAAGGGTGATCCAAGCAACACACTTATATGGACTTGTGCAACAGCAACGAATAACCACTGTGCCCCCCCCCACAAAAAATCAGCAAATTAACGACTACAGATGTAAGATCAGATTGTCAAAGGTCCCAATACAGACACTTTTATAACTCGCCCACGCCAGTACCATAGTTTCAGAGGCACGCCAGGTAGAAGTGACAGAGTTTAGAATTGTTCCCTATGTGTTGGGGTAAGCCTAATGGCAAATAAATCAACTTGTTTTCGTGTTTGTAAGGAGCAGATTCTATCTGCAAGCACACCATCTGGAAGCACTGCACCCACATCAAAGAAAATACATCACTGAGAGAACTTTCAAGCACTACAAACTATGTGCTACCAACATCCAGTTGAACACAGGAATGGACTTGAGCCGGACTTAAACCAGGGACCACCGAGCACAGCACCAATACCAAAGTGAGCTGCACAGGCCTACCTTGCAATTTCTTTGAGGATTATCTACGAGGCAAATATCTTTCTGAATCACTTGCTAACGGAAAAAAAGGTAATCTTAATTTTGTCAAAAGGGAATTTTCATTTCAGGAAAAACATGACAGTTCTGAAAGCCGACCAATAGCATTAAGGACTATGCCAACATTTGAACGTAGAAAAAACTAACAATACTAAAAAAAACCAAGCTATTAAATGCATTGAAATCCCGAAATCACTCCCAAATGCAGCCAACAGGTCCTTTAAACAAACATTTGTCTAGACAGCCTCCGTAAATGACCCCATAGTTGGCCCCTTGGGGTGCAACCCAGAGAACTTTTGGGAGTGGGTTGGCAAACATCGCAGAGATGCAGCATACTACCCATGTGACATCGGCACCTTTGGCCATGCCCGAATTACTCGGCTGCAGCTTGAATTTACACATGACTCTATGGCAGCGGCTGCAGCCACTACCCATAGAGTTGTGCATAATCTCAAGCTGTAGCCAAGTCGTACTTGACACAGATTTTGACATTAGCTGCCACTGAAGCCACACCTCCAGCCACCATGCCAAGGTTCATGATAATGAACCTTGGTATGGGAAATCAAAATGTGCGTGTACAGTTCAGGCCTAATGAAACCTGGTCCCTGGTTTGGCTGGGGCAAACAGTGGCAACCTTTGCATTGATATGCAGAAATAATGTCTTTGATCTGAGCAAAGTGCTGACACACTGATTTGGCAACGAGTGGGAAATGTAAACACTTTGATTCTCATTTGTAAAATTTTTCTGTGAATCGCGCTGTTGCGTACGTGCATGTTTGGAGTAACCTGTGAGCGATGCGTGCTTTCACCCTGACCCTGAGGTCCTAAAAAAAATCCATGAGGTTGTGAACTTTTTGGAGATTCAGGCAAACAAAGCACAGCCAATATGACCTTCGGTCCACTGAAATCACATTCAACCACATGACACAGGGTTAATTCCTCCACAGTGAAAGATTTGGGGCATCTAAAGCCAGTTTTAGGCAAAAACAAACAAACAAACAAACAAACCAACAAACAAAAAACCCTGAGGAGTTACCGCTTTGGCCAGGTTGGCTACCATCACAAAATGAATCCTTTCAATATGTATTGAACAGTGTTCTAGTCGAGTCCAACATGACTTTCACAAGTCCCTGCAAGGCCGTTACAAGTCGTCCCGTCTGAAGCAAAGTAGCAATGCCATTCAAATGAACTATGACACAAGAACTCCTTTTGTCACCTTTCACCTGATCACTTGTGGCCGGACTTGTAGAGGGAGCAAAGGACGGGACTTCAGATGGATTCAACTTCCACACTGACCAGTATCAAATTTTGTAGACATACGATTCGTGACATCAAAAGATGTGCACATGTACTGTGCTTCCCCATCAGAATTCACCGTCTGTCAGTTTCACCCATGATCAATTTACGATAAGAAACTCAGTCCAAGGCCTTGATGAGCACAAGCCAATGAAAAAACAATCCATTCATCTACCGGTACTGAGCCTCCATGTTTGAATGAAGTAATTTAATCCTGTGACCTAAAAACTCCAGTACTTTATCCTCGGAGGACCTGCACCCCTTTTAATACCATTTTCGCCAAACAATGATTTTGCTCTCACAATATATCCATCTCAATTTCACATAGCTTCTAATGGTAATCAGAAAATCAACTCAATGCAATTCATCTCCTGGCATGGCACCCCACACCACAAGGCCACCATGCATTCCACCTCTTACAAATTTATGCAATTCCTACAAGAAGGCTATACATGTCGGAATTCCTCAAATCCACGAATTCTACACGGCAACATTTCTGCACAACAACTCCAGCTCCGAGGAGACATTTACAATACTGATCGGTAAGCGCTTACGAGGGGATCAGACCCCAACATACTGCAATCACACAGGTGCACAGTTGTGTAAACACTGTCAGGGGAATGCCTAGCGCCAGTCCACATCACTTGGGAGAAGAGGTTGACGATACACATGACAGAGCTGCATGAGTCACGCATTTCACTGAACTTTTAGAAATGAACATCAGCGTAGTCTTCACAATGTAAAGCATGCTGAGCAGTCATTCAACAAGGCAGCCATTAAGGAGAAACGAAATGGATGAACACCGAGATGAACAAGACTCCCTCGAATGTTTAAATTCCAACCCCTACAATGTGTGAAAATTGACTCTACAATGGAATTCATTTCAGGACGTCGAAAAAATAAGCTCAAGGATGTGTTGTATATACGAGACTTAAAACCTTCCTTTTGCTGTAACAGTCACAGAAAATTCCTTCCACTTCTCTCTGTACAGTCTAGTGCACTGTCATATCATATCATACATGTACATTATATGTCACTTGACTGAGTTAAGCCACAACATACTCTTACTTTATAGAACAGGCCTTAATTGTTTGTGAATTTCATTAATGACTTGATTCTTTGACGCTTTGTAACATATGGTCATTACATGTAGACTGAGCCACTGAATTTCATGTCCATAGTTCATGTACAAATATCATGTCTTCTATATTTAGACAGAATGAGGATTTGACGTCTAATGGTACTCAAGTCATTGAATAATTAACAATTAAATAACAATTACAAGATGTAGCTTGTTTAATAGTGATGCAAAAGGGAGAGATATAACAGGGCAATGTCCCTCCCACACACACACACACATGCCAGATGTCTGGCTTTTGAACATGCAAAGAGAAGACAACTGTTTATCACCCAAAAAGCACGTCAAGAAGACGAGAATTTCACTGACACCTACAACACAGCACCAAACCTACTTGAAAAAATCCTCAATTGTGGATATCCCCTCAAAAATGTTTTGGTCATTGAGAGCCCATCTTTGTAAAATCAATCAAGTGGCAACTGACCGATCTTTGCAGACTTCACACATGCAATACCAATACAACCACTTGAACTTACATGCGTTTCAGATTGAAATCATTTCACCACCACTTGATGGACTGGGACTCCGTGAAGGTCGGGAATTATTCGGTGAAAGAGAGGAGTGAAAATGATACACGGATTTCTTGGCAACCTAATCTGCTGACGAATGAGTCTCTTAATTAGATCCCGGCTACTATTGCTGGGGGTGGAAACTTGACTACCAGATGGCTAGACAAAAGTGAAAAACCAAAATCTGCTAAAGATCAACTTGAGAAAATTTACTGTAGACAGAATTTGTGGCATGGGTGTAGAGGGGTTACAAGCTCGTTCAGGGGCAGATTTCCAGGGATGGAAGCTGATGAAATGAACTGTAGAGGGCTGGACCATCTGAGACATATGAAGCAAGATATGAGATGGAGAGAACCCCCCCCACTTTGTTTTGGTCATTGTTTCACTGGAATCGGAGTAAATCTTTTCAGACATCTAGGGAGGATGTGTTAGGTAACGATAGTCTAGAGTGTGTATAGCAATTGGACATG